GTATAACTGCTGGTTCAAGCCAGTGCAAACATGTTAAAGGGTGGGGCCTACTACATCATTGAGGACACTTCCCTTAAAAGGAAGTGATAGAGTTCTTGTGGGACTCTGCTTAGTTCTCACAAAGGGTTGTTAAAAAAAACCAAGTCTAACTCTTGAATGGCTCTCTGGCTGTCTCATGATGGAATCTCTCCCTCTTGCATGCACTCCTGCCAGGATACCATCTGCCAAGATGTGATACAGCCAGAGGAGCCCTCACCAGAATCAGTAACATACTATTTAGACTTCCAGACTCCAAAGCTGTAGCTAAATAAACCTTTTTCCTTTTTAAAGTATCCAGCTTTGAGTACTTCATTGTATAACAGAAAATGTACTAATATAAGGTTCTTGAAAGAGGGTATTAGGAAAAGGAGGCTCTGTATCTGTGGAGAAAGAAGGATACAAACTGAATCAGGCAAAGCACCCCTCCCAGTCAGTAACTCAGGAGAACGCTGCATGAATTCCAAGAGGAAGTTTAGGCCTGGAAAAGAGGCTACATACAATACCTTCTACTCTCTATATGAGGGATAACAGAAACCTGAAAACATTCAAATTTAGGTTATTCTACATAAAGATCCTGATTCCCTACTTCTCCTTCAAGGGGCAGCTACATGATACCCAGGTGAACAATCAGCTGGAGCTCCAGAGCTGCTACCCCTAACTCACATCCTTCTACCCTCTCTTACTGGTCCTGTGAGCATCAAGCTTTCTTGTCTTTGTACCAAATACTATACTACTTCTGTATCAAAGTCCAACACTATAAATAATGGAAAGTGAATGAGAACATATTTCTTTTGATAACTCATGATGAGTCCTGTGTTTTTGGTGAATAACTATACATATGTGAATTCTTGAAACAGACTGCATGAGTAAATAACCTGGATCTGACTTGATTTACCTAAGTTCTTTTTACTGCTTTTTCTCATCTTCTTCCCTCATTGAGGGTATCACTTATTGTTATCTACCTCATAGGAGTATGATAAGGATTCAGTAAATTAATCCTCATAAAGTTTCAATAACAGTGCCTGGAACATAAGCCTTCCTAAAGTAACTACTGTAAGTACCTGCATGTCATAAGAGCACACTTTAAGATGCCACACACTGAACCATGTCACCTCTCTACCTACCTACCAAATTCATACACTGAGGTCCTAATCCTCAGTTCCTCAGAATATGACTGTATTTGAGGCAAGGTTTTTAATAAAAGTTAACTGAGATCATTGGGATGGTCCGTGATTCAGTATGACTTATGCTGATATAATAGGACATAAGACCATGAGAAAATAAATCTATCTGCAAGCCAAGGAGACAGGCTTTCAGGAAAAACCAATCCTACCAATACCCTGACTTTAGACTTCTAGCCCTTAGATCTGAGGAAATGAATTTGTTTATTTAAGACCTTCATAGAAGCCAATTTTATTTTCTTGTCAATTAACACCCACTTCTTATTTTTTTCAATCATTTTCTGCTGGGCAGCTTCATGTGGTATTTAGATGTCACTGTAGTTGGTTTTCCTGATTCATATGAAATGATCTTTTTTATAGACCTGAAGTCTATAACATCAAAGAACCCAGTTCTTTGACAGCATCAAAGAACCCAGTTCTCAAGTTTAGCTAAACATCAGGATGACAGTGATCCCTCACCTATCGCGGGAGTTATGTTCCAGAAATCCCCACAATAGGTGAAAATCTGTGAAGTAGTGGTATATTTATTTTATTGTATATATATAAACCTTTCCTATACTCCTATAAACCTTTCCCACTCTCTTATTAACCTTTCCCACACTCTTACAAACATTTCATATGCTCTTAAACACTTTCTATACTCTTAAACCTACCTAATTTTAGCAATATGTGAAATTCTATATAGATACTCACCAGGGAAGTATACAACTTGAATGATGAAGATCATGAATTATGTAGCTGTGCAGTACTGATGGCGATATGAAGTGGACAAGCAGAGATGCTAAACATATGGACACAGTGCAGGACAGCAAACAGACAGATGCTACTGGTCACTGAGCCAATCAGCACTCAGGATACAGAACACAAGGCTGTGGTTGATTGCCTTCCATTTCATCAGCCAATAGTGTGCCATATACAATCTTACATTGGCAAACTTGCACAAGTAGTAGTGGCATACTGCCTTTCCATTGTGTACAGTATGGTATTCATCCACCGATGAAATACATATTGTATTTTATTTCTATGTAATATTCTTTTAATATGTTTGAATTAATTTTTTATATTTTTATATTGTTTTAAATTGCTTAGGCAAAAATACTTAAAATCATAAATATTATATAAATACCTATATACTGCAAAATCCCACAATACAGCAAAAACTCTGTGATACCGAATTAGATTTTAAAAAAAAAAATCCTGTGATACAGTGAAGCTGCAATAAGTGAACCATGATACAGCAAGGCAGGATGGTACCTGGAAAGTTTTTGAAATCTCCGTGGGTGGATCGTCTTTCCTCACTCTGATGTGGTGGGTTTTTGGTGTGGAGCTCGGACAATGTATTTTTTAAGTTTTCCAGTCTATACAACATCCAATATCCAATATGCAACCAAGGATGGGTGCCATTACCTGAGTATAAAAGGCCTTCAGGGTCACCTTACCTGCAACTCAAAGCGTCGTCCATAACCTGCCAAACTGTTGTCACTCAGGAGCTTGTTGGACATGCAGAATCTTGGGTTTCATTTCCAACTGCTGAAGCAGAATCTGCATCTCTGTCAGGATGCTGCACATAGTTCAGATGCACTCTAAAAGTTGAGAATCACTGAATTCCCACCAGATGCACGTAGAAAACTTGTCAAAAACAAGACTACATAGTTTCTCTCACAACCAAAGATTGAAATGTCTGGGAAAAACCTAAGAGTCAGGATTTTGTGTGTTTCTATGCACCCAGTCACACAGGGGTCTGAGGCCTGGCAATCACGTATCTAAGCCAGTGAGGGTGAACCTTTTAGAAACAAGTGCCCAAACTGCAACCCAAAACCCACTTACCACAAAGTGCCAACATCGCAATTAAAACTGAATACTGAGGTTTAAGTTTAGAAAAATCAACTCATACGTTAACATTTTCTGTCTTAAAAGAAAAACAAATAACACGTGTGCCACAGGTTCCCCACCACTGACGAGGCCAATGTGCAAATCCTTCAACTGCCCAACCTCTGCCTAATAAATTTCCAATTATTTTTTGCAAATGAGGAATATAACAGAGATATGTTTTTATTTTTTCAACATGCATGCACGTTAACAACAATTTACACTATTTGGGAATACAGAAATGATTGTATTATTACCAGAACATCAAATTATCAAGTACAACAACCAGTTAGTGATTACTTTACTTTTAGGAGGTTATTTTCACAGAACACAACAATTCCCAAATTATACTTTCAAGACAAGAGTTATGAGACCAGGACAAACTGCTAACAATCCTAATAGTCACACAACGTGCCGTATTACACAGGGGGAAAAAAAGACTGATTTTATGGTGAAGGGTCTCAAGTACCTTACATTGGGAATTTTTTGAGGGAGAGAACACAGGGTCTCACTATGTGGCCCAGGCTGGCCTCGAACTGACAGCAATCCTCCTGCCTTGGCCTCCTGAGTGGTGGGATTACAGGTGTGCACCACAACGCCCAGCTACATCACAGATTTTAAAGTAGTTTTATAATAGAATTGTCTCTCCTTTTGAGGATGTCGGGGAGACAGAGCATCCCTTTATCTCTGAGTCTCCCTGCTAATTCTGAAGACTCATTTCTAAGACCCATTTGTGGGACTTCATTAGTTAACACTGAAAGCAAAAAGCACACTTCTAATGATAGTACGCCTGTAACTATCACCACCAGAGTTCCGATCTCTCAAAGCAGCCCATTGAGACTTTCAATAAACAACACAGGTAGAAGAAACTAGCTTAATCACAACTGGTGACTGTAGCTAGGTGATGGGCACACAGGGCCCAAGGACTAGCCTCTGTGTTTCTGAAAATCTCCACAATAGAAGGCAAAACATTTTCTTTAAAAAGTGGACTTGTACATTTTAAGCAAAAGTGTGGAAAGTGGTTAAGATTTTGGAGGCAAAATACACAGCAATGTAGCATTAATCATCCACATATACAGGGTCACATCTAGAACTAAAGAGGAAGTATCCAAAGTAACACTATTCTGGTTTTGATTTATTTCTGTGACGCAAAAAAAAAAAAATCCACTAATGATGAAATGCAAATTGGACATAACTCTATGCTCTTACTTATCGACGCCCCCTTTAATGCTCCCTTCCTGGCCCTGAGGTAGGCGCTTTTTGTCCCTTTTTTATAACTGATAAGCATGTTCTCCCTGCAGCTTCCTAGGGCCATCAGTTACCAGGATCATGCCTGCTCCACATTTTTGCTCCAATTTCCCTACCTAGCCTCCCTTTACTGCAACTCTCAGCCAACGACTCCCTCACAAAACTCAGACTGAGGTCTACTCTGAGGTAAGGGAAGCTTGGGGCAGAGGTGCAGATGTAGACCTAATCCTCCTTCCCACCCTCAGGGATCAGGGGGAAAGAGGACGCAGACTAGCCTGGCAGGGTGCGCCCAACTCAGCTTGCCCAGCCGCTGGAAATAACCTGAAGGTCTAGAACAGATTCTCCATGCCCTAAGTGCACCTTGGAATCCTCCATAGTGGAGACAAATGCCCACTCCTGCAGGCATTTGAAGGTCAGAGCAAAGGACTGTCAAAGTAGGAAAGCTGGGACTGATGATTAGATGGCTGAAACTACTGCAAAGGAAGAGACGGCAGGAGGCCCCTGGATCTTGAGGAACACATAAACAACACTCACAGCAAGAACAGCCTGTAAACCTAGTAGTATGGGAGGCTGAGCCAGGAAGATTGCAAGCCTGAGCCCAGCCTGGGCAACTTAGCAATTTAGTGAGATCTTGCATCTCTCTCTCCCTTCTCTCTCTCTCTGTCTCTGTCTCTGTCTCTCTCTCTCTCTCTCTCTCTCTCACACACACACAAACTTTTTTTTTAAGGGCTGAGGATATAAAAGTGCCTAGACCTTGGGTTTAACCCATAGGTGCTACAAAAAAAAAAAAAAAAAGAATAGACACTAGTCTACAACATGGTTGCCTTGGGTTTTCAGCTTCTGAACTCTAGCGTAGGACCCAGTTGTGAGGACCAGAGTCTGATCAGAAACTCACTTGGCCTTTTGGTTTCCTTGACTATTTCAGCCTAGTATGAGAGTGTGCATAGAGGTCCCCAGCTGTATGGGCTCTACATGTACAAAAGCCTGCTTTGTGTCTTTTCTGCCTGAGCTGTGATACTATTTAAAAAATTCAAAAAATAAAAAAGGAAGAAAGGAAAGGGGGAAAGGAGGGTGGTAGGAAGAGGAGAAAACAGGGAAAATGGAAGGTAGCATGTGAGAGAGGTATGGAAGTCAAGGAAGTACTGTGGAGATGTGAAATAAAGTCAAGCAGACAGCAGTTCACAGATGAGAAACACCTCCTCCACTGTACCTCCCCTAGGGTACCCTGGTCATATCGTAAAGGAAGTAAGGGTAGTTGACAAAGGTACTTCGCTGACAAGGATGAGACCCAGGCCCACCCTCACCTAAAACCACAGCACCAAGACAGTGAACCTGTGCCCATACATACCAGCCCACCCATCAGTCTCAGCCAGAAGGGTTCTTGAAGTCTGGGGAGGGCATGCACTGGCAGGGTGCCTGAGTCCATAGGCAGCCCCTGAGGTTCTTGTTGACCAGGAAGCCAATGAGGGCCGACAGCAACCTAGACAAAATTTAGAGATCTGACAGCCTCCAGGCATAGCCAGACATGGAAGGTTCAGTAGACACGCCCAGAGGCAAGAAGACACACATGATAGTAGAGAATACATGGCACACTGCCCACCGATGCCCAGCAGTCAAACGCCATTCTGCTGGCCAAAGCTGAAGATACGGTAGGTAGCACCTTAGCTGGTGCTCTTGACCCACGTAACAATAAACTCTGGCTAATCACATGCACTGGCTTAATTTTGCAGTGGTAACAATAAAGCTTTCCATTGATAGAGCACATGGCCAGCATGAACTTGAAGCCTGGCAAGTCACTGGCCATGAAGTAGCACAGTTTGAGGATGCTCTGGTCCTCCTGAAGAATGACTTGAGAATGTTTATGTTAAAGACAAGTGGGAAAAGTCAGAGTCAAAAACAGGGTCCAGGCAACATACAGAAAGGCAGTACACATCTGAAGTATAAGTGCCCAACACACAAACAGCAGGATGAGACCACTTGTGACACTATTGTAAGAAAAAATAAATAAAAGAAGGTCACAGAGAGGCAAAAGAACATGATCATAAGTGCCATATTCTGGCTAAAGTCCAAATGGACCACAGCACATAGGAGCCAAGATGAAGAGAACACAGAACATGTGTTCCAAGCACACATGTGGACAGCCAGGAACAGGTCCCTCAGGAGGCAGCAGGGAGACTTGCACACGATCAGCTGGATGGTTTTACCCCAGGTGCGGGGCTCTCCACTGGCTGCTTTGCTGGACCTGGCCTGCCCTCCTTTGCTTTCTCTCCACGGGCTCCTTCACTCATAAGGTAGTATTGCAGGGGATTGGGCCACAGTTCCTCATTGATTATCTCAACAATCTTGTCAGACTCAATAGAACTGTGGTTTACAAACCACCCAAAGAAGCTACGGTTCTTTTCTAGGTTTCCCTCACTCATGGAGTGCAGATCGTGTCCTGGGAGCCACTGGATTGGGGTAGAACGAGAAATCACCTGACCAGAAGGACCACACCCGTATTCCTTGATGAGCACCTTATTTTGGAAATAGGGGTTACGGCCAAAGTAGAACTTGATTTTGTAGCCCAATCTAGCGAGGCCAAGCTCCTCCACTTCCAAGCTGTTCAAGTAGCTTAGCACCTCTTTGTCTTGGCTGTTGAGAAAGGAAGAGAGCTGGGGGTGGTTTTGGAAAGCTTGCCCCCAGAAGCCCGGGATGTTCTTGATGAGGACATTCCGGCGCTCCAAGTGGTGCAGTCGAAGCTGCCCGAATTTGCGCGAGAGCCTGAGGTAGGCCCGGTCCGCCTGCGCGTTCATGGTCTCCAGCTTCAGCTGGACAGTCTCCAGCGTGTCCATGTCGCCTTCTGTCGCTAGCGGCCCCGCCCGAGAATGCATCTCCACCACTGTCCTTTCCTCCTCATCTGAGACAGGGCTACACTCCCCAGCCGCCGCTTTCTTCGGCTTCCCACCGGCTGAGCCACAGCTTTTTTCTGGCACCTTCTTTGCAGAAGGGCCACGCCGGGTTCCAGCGCGGGGACCAGTTTTCAGCCTCGCCGCAGGCCCCACAGTCCCCACGAAGATTGTGTCTGCGGCCAGGCGCTCTGCGAAGGACGTGGCCCTTCCTGGGCCGGGCCTGGCGTCAGCCACCGCACAGCCCCCCGCAGCCCGAGCCCTGAGCGCGAGGCCGCAGTCCAGGGGCAGCCGGGAGGCGTCCTGGTCCGGGAGCCTCGGCGGCGGGGGCGGCGCGGGAGCAGCAGGCTTCGGGCCTCCCCCGCCCGCGCTGGCCTGCCCCTGTGCCACCTGAGTGTCCTCCCCGGGGCTCTGCAACCGTGCAGCATCCGGGTCGCGTGCGGCCCCGCCGGGAGCAGCGCGGACTCGGGCTTTGGCGCGGCCTTTGCCCCGGCTTTTGGCGCGGGAGGACTTTCGACCTCTACTGCGGCCGCTCATGTTGGTAGCGGAGTCCGCTTCAAAGCCATGTTCTGACCCGGCGGCCCCTGGCGTGAGCCAGTGGTCTTCCCAGCGTGAATCTCCATAGCAACCGCTGACGTCACGACTGCACGACCGACTGAGCCGCCGGGTGATTGGCTCCGCCTGTGTAGCTGCGCACTTCTTCACCGCGCACGCCCGGAGCCGCTCTTGCTCTAGATGTTGCAGTTTCCTCCGACCTTGGCTGCAGTGTGTTGGCGTCCTCCCTTTGCAGATCTCATGCGGGCCTCCAGGAATTCATAGAGCACATTTGTTCCTTTCTACAAGATAACCGTCACGACTGCCCCCTATTTTCTGAACACCGTCATCCATTCAGTGATGTTTTGTGACATCTGTCATGATGAGACTGCTCTTCGCCTCTGTGTGTCATCCTTGATACCCTCTGCTAAGAGATTTGCTGTGGCACCACGGAATGTGAAGGTGGGAGCCATAATGCCAGGCCTGAGCGACTTAACTACCAAAAAATAACAGCAGCTAGTAATTTATGAGTATCATATTGTTGGACACGTTACTACATGCTTTTTTTATTTTAAAGATAAAAGAATGAAAATATCTTAACAAACACACATACATTTAGAAAATAACACAAAAAAAGTACAAGCATTACAGAATCTCAGACAAGGTGATAGGAAATTAACAATGGTTGTTGTATTACATATTGATATCTTCAATTTTCATAATCAGATAGACATGTAAGATTGATCATACACTTAAACATTAACTGTTTCTTTCAATAGGGCAATAAAGGTCAGTAGTACAACTGTGTTAGCTATCCTGTGTATACATATATTTTTCCCCTTCTTTTTTTCTCTTTTCCCTCAACCCAGTTGTTCTTTCCTTTTGAGCAGTTTCCTTCCCTTTCACAATGTCTATTGTACCTCCTAGATTTTACTCACCCTTTCAGGTTCTTACACTAGTGAGATAAGGTGTTTACACATGCAGGTCTGATTTATTTCACTTATAAGAATAGTCTCTAGTTGCATCCATTTACTTATAAAAACCTCTAGTTTATCTTTATAGCTGAGTAATATTCCATTATGTAAAACTACCACAATTTTTTGATCCATTCCTCAGTAGATGGGCAGTTGGGTTGCTTGCATGATTTAGCTATTACAAAATGCACTACTATAAACATGGGTACACATATATGGCTGTGATATGATGTTTTCAGTTCTTCTGGGAAAATACGCAGAAGGGGAATAGCTGGATTGAATGGGACCTCTAGTCCTAGTTTACTGAGGAATCTCCTAACTGATTTCCACAGTGGTTTCTCCAGTCCACAGTCCCACCAGCAGTGGAGAAGAGTTCTTTTTCTCCACAGCCTCGCCAGCATTTGTCATTGGTTCATTTCTTAATGCTAGCCATTCTTACTGGGGTGAGATGGAATCTCAGTATTGTTTTAGTTTGCCTTTCATGAATGACTACTGATGTTGAACATTTTCTCTTGTATTTATTTGCCATTTCTATTTCTTTATCTGAGAAGTGTGTGTTCATCTCAGATGCCACTTTTGTATTGGGTCTTTGAATTTGGGGGGCTGATGTTTTTAATTCTTTGTATGTTCTACATAGGAGTCCTTTGTCCAAGGGACAGTCAGCTAGAATTTTTTTCCAATTTGTGGGTTTTCTTTTTACTCTGCTGGCGATTTCTTTCGATACGCAAAACATTTTCAGTAAGATGAGATCCCAGTTGTCCATTCTTTAAAGTCTTTCCCGTGCAGTTTGGCTTTTGTTCATGAACTCCCTGCCTACTCCTGTGCCTGCAAGCTTTTTACCTGCTTTTTCTTCCAGTAGATTTAGTGTTTCTGTTTTAATATTTAGATCTGTAATCTATATATTGCAGTACCATATTGATTTTATCACGGTAGCTGTGTAGTATAATTTCAAGTCAGGGATTGTGATGCCACCTGCCTTGTCTTTGTTGCCCGGGGTCTCTTCTTGTTCCAGATGAATTTTAGGAATGTTTTCACTAGATCTGTGAGATATTCTAATGGTATTTTAATTGGAATTGCATTGAATCTGTGCAACAATTTAGAAAGAGTGGCATTTTTCACAATGTTGGTTCTTCCTATCCATGAGCAAGGAATATCTTTCCATTTTCTAAAATCCTCTTCAATCTCTTTTTTCAGAGTACTGTAGTTTTCACTGTATAGATCTTTTACTTCTCTTGTTAGATTGATTCCTAAATATTTTAATTTTTTGGATGCTATTTTGAAAGGTATGGTTTCTTTAGTTGCTCTCTCAATATGTATAGGAATGCTATTGATTTTTAAGTGTGGACTTTATATCCTTCTATGCTACTGAATTCATTGATTAATTCTAGGAGTCTTCTGGTGGAGTTTTTGGGGTCTTCCATGTAGAGTATCATGTCATCTGTGAATAATGATAATTTCACTTCTTCCTTTCCTATTCGTATTCCTTTTATATCTCTCTCTTGTCTAATTGCTCTGGCTAATGCTTCCAGAACTATGTTGAACAGGAGTGGTGACAGTGGACATCCTTGTCTTGTCCCTGATTTTACAGTGAAAGCTTTTAGTTTTTGTCCATTTAGTATGATGTTGGCTGTTGGTTTGTTATAGACGGCTTTTATCAGATTGAGGTAAAGACCATCAATTCCTATTTTCTGTAGGATTTTTATACATTACTAGATGCTTTATAGTATTATCTTTGTTTATGTTATTGTACCTATTTTTCTGATGATAAAACTGCAGGTCTGTGATGCCCAAGAGCACCTCCAAGATTCAGTAACCATGCTTTATGGCTACCAATGGCCAGTCCTTCCAGACCTAAACTGTAAACACCTGCCTTGGCTCCTAAGAAAGTCAGCCCCACCAGTCAGCATCAGCAGGACACGTCTTCCCTAGAAGCTCACCCATGTCATCCAGCATCTTAATTCTCAGTTACGAAGCTGGGCTGTCCTTCAAGGTACGGGACCGGATGAAGTTCATGAATCCCGGATGAAGTTCGTGAATCAGTGCTCCAGTAATTAAGGCAAGGCAGAAAGGTGGTCAGAGATGGAAATGACCATTCAAGGAGCAGAACAGTGTCTTCTAGGTGTAGGCTCAGAAGCACGCACTCTTCACGGTAGCGGTGAGGATGCCCTAGAAACGTTTTCCTCAGCCTGCCTTGTATTTCCGGAGGCAGCCCCTAGACCAGCCAGGTAGTAAGCCCGTGAATGGCGACAGAATCCAGGACCAATTTGAAAGTGCGAAAAGCAGACTTTCAAACTAATACTTTCAGGTTCAAAGGGAACAGAAACAGCTCTTGCAGCAGTCTAAAAAAGAGGCAAGCCCCAAAGCTCCTGGAAGCCTTGGAGTATCCTCATGGGCCAGCAATCTGATGTCACCTAGGTTCCACGGCACTGGTCTCCTTACTATTCTTTGAACTCACTAGATAAACTCCTGCCACAGGGCCATTGCACTAACTCTGGCTTGAGAGCTTTACTCTACATTTGGTCAATTAAGTATGGCCAGCTCCCTGCACACTTTTTTTAAATATCACCTTCTCAGTGGCTATCTTATTTAAAATTGCTACCCATCCTCAGGTCTTTTATTCTATTTTTTTCTTTATCCCATAGCACTTATCACCATTCAACACACCATACCAATTATTTATTATGCTTGTTCTTCTACTTTCTCCTCTCTCCATAATATCAGCTCTAGGAGGGCACAGATCTTTGCTTTGTTTGCTATTTGGTGTTCCTTCACCGCCTACAACAGTGTCTGGCACATCCAAAGCACTTAATAAGTAATTGTTTAGTGGAAGAATTAATTAAAAGAGTTGTTTAAACTGGATTTGTAAATTGTTTGTCTGAAATTCAAAATATCCCCCTTTCCCTACTAAAGTAATGTTATAGGTGGAAGCTATATTTTCCATTAAATTCATAGTTTATTAGAGAATTATCTTGAGGGGCTGGGGATTTAGCTCAGTGGCACAGCACCTGCCTGGCAAGCGCAAGGTCATGAGTTCGATTCCAGGTACCGGAAAAAAAAAGAAAAACAATTTTTAAAAAGAGAATTATCTTGTGTTACAGAGTGCTTCTCAGGGACAGTGTGTAATGAAAAATCTAGGGTGACAAGTTAAGATATTAAGTTGGGAGAACTAATATTTGACTTAAAAGGAATTAATTAGTCCAAAAATCACCTTAAGTCCTGTCAAAGGCCTTTCCTAATCATTTCTTCTCAAAGCTGTTCACAACCAGCCTAGACCACAATAAGCAGCCCTGTCCTTGAGCTCAGGGAACAGCTGTTCATTGCATGATTTGTTCAGCAGTTAGACATGCACTGTTTTGTACCAGTTCTTGTGCAGAATTACCTCTTCAGCTGGATAATCACACTTTAACTGGAACTCTCTGTAACTCAGAAAAATCCAAAAATCAGCTAAAGCACCCACCATCACACTATAAACTGCATTAAGCAGTTGGCCCACTTCTCAGAGCACTCACAGTTCAACCAACCTCTACTGTCAAGAGCTTTAATCCAGTGTCAGCATCTGCGTCACTGAATGCTCAACCATGGCTAAGCCATTGCAGGATTAACAGTGGCCGGGCCACTGCAAGCAGTCTTTATTCTACAATCTGCCTTGAACCTGTTTTCGGCATGTCAGAGAGATAAGCATCAGTGGAAGGGAAACAAATGTGAGACTCTCCCCCTGTGTGCAAATACTGCTCTGGTACATGTCACCTGGTCCCTCTGGCTTTCTATGAAAGAGGCTGGTCTGTGCTGCAAATTGAACTGTTGGTTTTCTGCTCGGGTATTAATACCTAACTTTACATTGGAAAGTAGCTTAGGTTCCTAATTAGATAGTAAACTACATATAGTTAGAGACTGTGCATCTTTTACTTTTATCCCTCAGAGCACCCAGCATGGAGCCTTGCACATACTAGCAATTATAATAAAATTTCACTTTTATTTGTACTTTATAGGGTGTCATGTCTTAAGCCATTTAATCCCCATAACCACCCCATGGGGCAGGTGCAATTATTACTTCCATCTTGCAGAAGAGGTTACAGCTACATAATATGGTTCAGTAACTTCCCCAAGGTCACACAGCTAGTAAGTAGCTTTCACCCAAGTATTCTAACTCCACGCACGTGCTCTTCACCAATACTACATGATGTGATGTTGTGGCTTGAGATATCACTTGCTCTAGAACTTAAGCTCTTCCCTCTAGTGTGTAAAAATATTTCTTAATTCTCAAAAATCACATATATAGACATATATAGATATGTATATGCATACATATATACAATATATGCATCAGTTAGCCATGATTCATTTATTTATGGGGTATGAACTATGCTTATCGTGGGAATATTCT